TTCGTGAAGACCATGACCCCACAGATTTCTAAAATGCAGTTCCCTCCCCATTGAGATCACTGCTTCACATGCACCATCTTTAAATTTAAAATTAAGTCCTCTTGGGGACCTATGAGATGTTATTTCCATTTTATAAATTTGGAAACTGAAGCACAAAGAAATTAAATTTATTTGTCCAGGACCACACAAATTAGTGGAGAGCTGGGAGTTAGAGTGGGAGGGGTGGGAGACAGACGGGTAAGAGAGTGAACAAATGAGAGACTTTCTGATTGTGGTAAACACTGAGGGAAGTAAACAGGGTGACAGGAAAGAGAGGCACTGTTGGGATGGTTGGAGAAGGTGACAGGCTGAAATTGTAGGATGGGAAGACATCAGTCGCATTGTCAATTGAGAGGAAAGCTTTCCAGGTAGAGGGCACGGGATGTACCCACTCCCCTTGTGAGGTGGAGACAGTTTTGGCATGCTCAAGGAACAGAAAGAGGCCCACGGGGCAGGCGGATGGCAAGCCAGGGACAGAGGGGGCAGGGTGAAGTTGGAGGTGTGTAGGAACCAGACAGTGCAGGGCCCTGTAAAGAAGGATTAGCAGTGGAAAGACATTGAAAGGTTTTAAACAGGGAAGCTGGTTTTCATGGTAGCTACTTAATGATACTGGGTATTATTGTGTGCCATCTATTACTGAAAGGATACCGGCCTTAAGATTGAATTTATCCTTCTGGAGAGCTTCAGGCCTCCTCTCTCGCCATGTTTTGGCATACTCTAGTTAGGACAGTGCTCTTGTGAGTCAGGATGGACCATGGCCTAAAAGGGGGCTGTGAAGGGAGTTAGGCCAGTTCCACTGGTTTTCTAAGTCACTTTTTCATTCCTTTTTTTGCCCAGCTCTGCATTGCTTTGAAACACTTTAATATCTGATGTTAAAAGGGTCTTTTACTTGAAGAACAAATAAATTAGGGGTTAAATTCTTATAATACCAAACTATGTCTTGTTTTACGATGTGGGACACTTTTTCTGGGTACATGTTAGTGTTCAAGAACATCATTAGCTGTTTTGAAGAAAGGAGTGAGGAACTTAAGACAAATATAAAGTGTAACTACCAGTTCTTGATTAATCAGAAATGATAGCAGATGACATCAAATTAAGATTCCATTTGAAAAATAAGATGTACCCAGATCACAGGTTACATGAGAGAGAGGTACCCAAGCCTATGTCCTCGGATATTTTGCATTAAATATATTTTTATAACTATTTGTTTAATCTGGCTTATAAATTTTACATTTAAAAATACTTTAAAAAGGGCCCTTTTTCACTGCAGGAATTTTCTATGAAATAGTAAG